AAGAGCGGAGCATTGCGAGTTTACGCCTCGCGCTTTCGCGCCTGCAATTTTGTAGATGCAACACGGACATCCATCAAGCACGAATAGTTGTATCTCTGCGCCGTCATCAACGCGCGTCGAGGTATCTCTTATTTTTGAAAGTTAAGAAAAGTGAAGGTTGAGTCCCCCCAAAACTCAAAATATGCTATGAAGCTATGATATGTGCAAATCTATAATTATTTTGAAATAAGAACAGAAAAAGGAAAAAATAAAGGTTTCTCAAGCGCTTTAAAGGGCCCCGAGTAAAAATGGATATTTTGGTGGAGTTATGTCTTTTCAGAGAATTCATTTTACGGCTACTCTTGGAAATTCCAAACTGGGTCTTGTCGCTTTAAGAAGTTTTCCGAATGATTCAACGCGAATTCCTGTCGCGGCACTTTTCTAAGAATATTATGCTCAGTGTAAATATCTAACTAAATCTTGAGCACTTACGCAGCATAAATTTTGCTCAATTTTCACGGAATGTACGTGAATACAAACTATAAACATTTAAAAAGTAAGATCACTGCAAATTGAAATCGGCTAATATGGTAGTAATTTTATGCCTCATAGTTTCCTTTGTGCATATTTTAGACCTCAGTCACCCGTTTTTGAAGAGGGCCTGCAAGTATAGGAATCTCGTGTTTCGGAAAAAATGAAAACGGAATCTGGGTCCATGTTACTAATAATTTACCTTCACTTATCAACCAGGAAATTCCAACAATTCCTGCCATAATTTAAGCTCACCCTTATCTTTCGCACCATATTTCTTGCACGAGGAATTCATTGTTGTATCATTTCAGGGGTTGATTATTGAGATAAACTAAGGATTAGAAATCGTCATAGGGCTTTAGGGCAGGAGATAGAACTACCTTCCTTTTTACTTAATAATACTATTTCCCATAGTTTAACTTTAAATCGGCCTCATTCAGTTGACTTATCGCACCCCGTAACGCAAGGCTCACCTCATACCCCTATCCAAAGGGAGACGTCACGTTTCAGTCGTGCACTCTGAACGTCATTGCAACCAGTGGAGCATCCTGTGTTAAGCTCGGCGAACTAAGACATCAATACTGTTTCCTCGAACTGAATACAGAGAGCGCAAGAATCAACTTTCCTCCGCCGCGCTGCGCTCGCTGTTCCGAGGCTAATATTCATTGACCCTTGATGCTCACGATGTAACACGGCTCCCTGAGATTCCTGCTTCTAACCTTTGAACACTTGTATTGAGAAAAATGAAACTTTTGAAAGTAAATTTTAAATCTAGTTCGCTTTAAAATCGGGAAAGCTCTGTAACGTGCTCGTGAAAATATTTTTCCAGGAGCCTAGAGAAAGGTAAAACGAGGAAAGCTTTCAAGGCTCAGTTCCAGTGAAAATGGTCCAGATAGTTTTTTTGAAAGAAGAGTGAAAGAGAGAGAGAAAGAGTCTCTGTGAGAGTTCACGTTTGAACATAATTCACATGGGGTATATAAAAAATTCTGCACTCACAGCATCTGTCTTAAGCTATTTTTCACCTGTTTAAAGTAACAAAATAATCTAATGATTAAATTGCGCAAATTGAAATTCACGACGACGGCTTCATTTTCGTTGAAAGATGAACCTCATATAATTAGCGATAAAGTGTAAGCTTAGAGTGGAAAATCCTCTATGAACCAATTAAAGTATTTCCTTCTTGCATTAAGAGATTCGCAATCGACCGCAGTTTTACACATTCAATTCAATAGGACCCACCTTTTTATGGGGGAAGGGGGGTGTTAAACTTTCTAATTTAAATGTAAACGTTCCTTTGAGCGAACTTTCGATGAGGGGGACACTTGATGCCCTAAAGCTTACCCTGCACAGAATAGCGATTTATTTTACGTTCACATGTGTGCCTTCAATGTTCAAGCTATGCAAAATTGGGGGCCATCGTGTCCGAATGGTTATCGCTCGTCAATTCAGCGCTGGACTGAAAGTAAATATCAACGTACATTGAATGATAATATCTAAAAATGTGTCATCTAAATCACCTCGTTTCTGGGTTATAGGACATTTTGTCAACGATTTTTTGTCCGCGCACCTGTTATTTCCAGTAGTTAACTTCCACGCGTTTTTTCGGAGGGGGAGTTTTGGTCCACTTACCACTTGAGACCCAAAGTTAATTGGTCCACTTGTACATACAAACAACATGTAAATGTTGGTATGTTGGCGTGCCTTCAATTTCGTATAATACTGTACAGCACCTATATTGTGAAATAGTGAAGCGCCGTGGCACGTGGCACGCTGCGACGCAGCCAGCCAGCCAGCACGGAACGCGCATTGGCGCCTACAAACCTAAGGGATACCTCAAGCATTGCGCAATGCGTGAAGTATCCGCTTAGGTTTGTAGGCGCCAGTGCGCGTTCCGTGCTGGCAGCATGTCGCGTGTCGCATAGTCGCATCACTCCGCTTTATGCTAGGGCCTATTATTTAAACTCGCGGAGTCAGTGTTTTTCAACTCATCATTTTTATGTTTGCACATTCTGCAAGGATTATGATAAAAAATATATATAGGAAAGGAAAATTTAATGTGTGTTTTGTAAATATCAAGATGTTCCCGTGTCGTATTTAATGATTTTCAAAGCACATTAATTTTTTATTTTATATTTTGTGCTTTTACTGTGCTGCAGCGTAGTGTGAGCGCAACCAAACGCTCATAATAGGACGTATTTGACTCTGAAAGATCGATGTACACATGGGCTAAAACCGAGGATTGCGTGCTTCTCGGTTTTTTCCTTCTTTTATTCATTTGTGCATGGTTTCTTTCGACACAACTACTGCTCATTGACTTTAATATCGATTCCATCGCTTGGAAAAGGTTTTACAAATATTTGCCACTTTTTAAAAATGTAAATATTTTTAAAATAAAGTAATATGTTCATTTAAAAAAAAGCATTTACAAGGTTTATTTTTCATCGAAAATTTTAAGGATGGAAATAAAACCAAATATTCACCCATGACAATTTAAAAAGATTGATCAAAAGAAGGAAATAACATTTGATTTCAAAAATGAGTTACCTCAACAACTCTTCCGTCTCTCCCAATTTTCTTATTTCATTATTGTCAATATAATTTTACATAGGGACTAAAATATGATACTTGGACAACGCCGCTGTTGCTTATTTCACGCGTGGACGTAAACAATTGGACAAAACAGGTGAGCGGACAAAAAATCGTTGACGGAATGCCCTGAAACCCGTTTCTGCCTTAGAACCTTGTAAGCCAGGTTGCTATCTATTTACAATAGAATCTACATCAGTTTAGGCATGGTCATGCAATTATATGAACAAATCGCTTATCCGATTTAAAAAAAGAAAAAGAAAAAAAAACTTTAACTTTCTAAACATTTCGTATTAACGAAAACATTCGTTGGAGAAAAAGAGTTGGCGAAGAGGGTAGGCTTTTGGTTCCGAAGAGTCATAAACTTTTTACTTAACGTGAGAGTTGTCACCGGTTGTTCGTTGTTACTTGAGAAAAGCTAAGTAGTCTCCAATAAACTTCCCCTGCACTTTCTAATAGTTTCGCAGACAGTCCGCCACGACTTCTGACTTAGGAAAGTGTTGCTGTGTGCAAGTCGTCAACATTGACCAAGCACCTGATTAAGTTTTTTACACCCCTTTACATTACTCAAACTCTGCATTACTTCTTCATTTCTCATTCCTTGGCTCTGAAATCCTGGCTCTCTCCTCGTGAAGATGATTGAATATCGCTATCGTTAATATTTGTTTTAATTTTTGACGAATCTCTTACGATTGTTGGTGATTTATTGGTGGCCTGTACTTGAAAGCTTGACACGCAGGGCCATGCCCAAGTTGCTAGTAGAAAAAGAAGAAAGACGACACCCAAAGAAAACAAAAGTCGATCAATTCATGTGTTTTTCGATCTATCTACGAGAATACGAACGATTCCCAAGTTTGTCGATTGTACCATTGGTTTTTCGATCAATTCACGATTGTCAATCGATTCACTCAGAGAATTTGCAGGTGTCTGAAATTTGATGAACTACCAAGTGAACTGAACACGAGGATATCCTTGGTTCATGAATTGAACAATTATTGGAGAAGATATGACAAAATGATCTAATCTGTCAAAAAACATGTGTTTAAATGGGAAATGCCGCCAGATGACGTCACTAGGCGGTGCATTTTCTCATTTTTAAATCTATTTTTATACTATTTCCCATATTAGAAAAACATCATAAAAAATAGTGTGAAATCAGCCGCTCTTTAAGCACTTTCAGATGAAACAATAAAAAAATTGCATGCAAATTCTCTAAAGATTAACATTTTGATTTATACCTTCGAGCTTTAATCGAAAACAAGGGACCCACCGCTGACCTCTTGACGACGGGTGGAAGCTTTTAATCTCGGGATTTGAACACTTCTTTATGGCCAAAAATACGTGAGCACCAGTCATCACCCTTCTTCCGGCTGCTGACTTACCTACTAGGTGGATGATGAGCTTTGGATGACGTAATGAGCCAAGAACGTTTCCCAAACTTGCGGTTTGGTAGCAAAACGAAATTGTTAACACGTTGTTAACCACTCATTTAGTAGGTAGACCATCCGCTGAATGTTGGCGCCAGCTTTCCTGCTTCCACCTGTCGCCAAGAGGCCAGTGGAGGCACTCTTGTATGTATGTATGTATGGTTGGTTGGTAGATACGTTTATTTGGTGCTTTTAGCCAATGTAGGTATGTATGTATGTAAGGGTGTATGTATGTATGTATAAGCCGCTTTTACGGCGCGCTGGGGCGCTCCTGCGACGCCTACCCGCCACAGGAATCTGTCATGATAGAGACCCTCCGGAAGCTGGCATCTCTCCATCTCTTCACGGATGCCCTCTACCCACCGGGAAAGGGGGAGGGGGGTTGAGGGATTCTTGTCTCTGTACGAACCCATGTGATTTAGTAGATAGTGTCAGCTCGGTTTCTGTGTGTGTAATGGGGGTGCTATTATGTTACAGGTGGGCCAGATTGATGGGATGAAAGTGCTCCAAGCCTGGAGAGCGATCGGAGGACTGAGAGCGACTGGGACGATCGGAGGATGAGCGGATCGACGACGGGCACCTCGGAGACGCTGGCCAACTCCGGGTACTGCAGCGGCGATGAGACGGCGAGCCTCCTCTCGTCGCGGACGACCCCGCTGCCGACGGTCAAGCCGGTGCTCATCCGCCAGGACTGCACCACCTCGCTCCGCAAGTCCCCGACGCCCAACCTCTCCACCTCCGGCGGGGCCATGGGCAACAGCGACGAGTCCGGCAACACCGTCTGCGCCGAGGACTACAACGCCCGCTCCCTCACCGAGCTGGACCACGCGTCCTCCGCGGCGGCGGCCACCCGGTTCCCCGGCTCCGGGCTCCGCAACTCGGCCCCGCCCGGCGGGTTCCACCTCGTCCCGTACGTCCGCTGCCACTGCGAGCGGCGCAAGTCCCACTCGCTGGCCCGCTCCGCCTCGCGCGAGTCCGTCCGCTCCATCCACCCGGCGCCCACCGTCCACCTCACCATGTCCCCGAGCTCCCGCATCATCCGCCAGAGCTCCCAGCCGGAGGCCACCTGCTCCGGCCACTGCTGCCACGTTCACGGCGGCAGCGCCAGCCCCATCCCCAGCGGCTCCATGCGCCACCTCAGGGACCCCGCCGACGGCCTCGCCATGATCGCCGCCGAGTCGCTCCGCTACAACGGGGCCATCAGGCAGTTCAAACAGGTCAGTTCACAACCACACTTTTTCCATAGTCTCTACAGTTACTGCAATAATCTCGTTCTCTTGTTTTGTGTCACTTGAAACTAGTTTTTTTAAAGAGATTTTACAAATTATTTTCAGCGGAATCCAACTGAAGATAGGGGGAACGGTCTGATTCTTTCAGTTTCCCTTTTAGCCTTGTTATCCGCGGTTTTTTGTAGTTTATACATTCTTGAATTGTCATTGCCACGGGCTACTGCGTAGAAGCTTATTTTATGTTACTACACTCTGTGTCGTCGTTCTTTTTACAGTTCCTTCTCTCAGGAGCCCCCATATGGTTCGCATTGTGATTATGGGATATTCAAGGAGATTCTTAACATGACATCATTATAGAAGACAACTGCTGTAAACTTCGAATGATATTCAGCAATATAACTTTGGTAGCCGCTCTTCGAAAGAGATTAATCTGATTTGCCACCACAAAAAATACTAAATACGGAAGAAAACATGTAGGCTTTCACCTTCCTCAGAGTCTGTCAAAATCATGGAATTTTTTCTCTCGTATTTTATTCTTTTTGCAATGGCAAATCATAGCAATCCCTTTCAATAATCCGTTTCCATGGTTATACTGCTTAATTTTACGAGAGGTTTACGAAAATTGTACGTCTCGGGATGTCATGTCAAGGACCTCCTTGAACTTCCCATAATTAAATAATGCAAACAAATGTGGCTTCCTATAAGGAAAGGTGCTTGTTTAAGGAACGGTTTTGACTCCGGCTCTATGTCTCATATTACAGCAACCCTGAAAAATTAATGCGTGAAACCTGAAGGACCTTGTAAATGGTAACGGCTAACCAATAAACTGCACCTAGGGGCGGGACGCTGTGTCGCCTCACACAGAGGAGACACTCCCGTCGGTCTTATATTCAACATTTTTCCACTTGTATCAGTGTAAAATATAAGATGCAACCTTTGAGATGGAATCATAACTACCCTCACGAGAAAAGGGCCTTTACATGCCCCTTTCTTGAGGAACTCAGGGGCTCCGTTCAAATGTGGCCTCGACGAAACCTCACGTATAGACAATCCTCCATTGAAAATTCTAGCTTGAGTTCAAAGCTAGATTTGGCAATACAGCATCGAAAAGTTTACGTGCTACTCTATTATAAAATGTCAATAGTTTGAAGTTTCTTGGTTCAAAGAACAACTTTCTTCAGTCTTTTTGTGATTTTTAAGGCACAAGAACATCATCTGATGATCATCTGCCTCAGAAAATAAAATGGGAACTTGAGAATTGTAACATTATTTAATGGTATATAATATAAACTTTGTATCGTTTTATTACCAAAACGGACGTCAAACTTAAGCTAAATATTCAATGGGAGGTTTGATTCATCATAAAATTTCTCTCCGGTTATATTTGAACGATATGCCTGAGTTCCTCCACTAAAAGGCACTTTTTGACAGCCTTTTTTTTTTTTTTAGAGGGACCGAATAGTAACATTTAGCCTGAATTACTAATTGACCAACTACCAATAACAAACTCTAGAGGATGCCGATAGAAATTTGGGAAAGAATGAGATTTCGGACCTTCCAAGAGATTCAAAACGGATTTTCTGCTCTTCAAATCGTTGTAACAAATCTTCTCTATAGTTCTTAGTTTCAGTGGAGTATGCTTGTATGAAAGCATGGTCTCGTTTGGAATTGAGATAATCCGTATTATTCGAGTAAACAAGTTGAAACGAAAGAGGGAAAACGTTGTCGCGATACTGATATGACTGAAGTTTCCCAAGCATATTTGCCTTTTTTTTATCAACGTTGCCATAACTCGCGTGAAATGACGGTTTCTCTCTACAAAAGCGTACGAAAAAATGCGGAATAAATGCATTTAATGGCAATCCTCATTATCTTCTCAGAACATAAAACCCCTACGAATGAATGAATAAATAAAATGTCTAGCCCAGCGAAAGCAAAATTAAAAGTAAGTAAAATTGGATTCTGAAACTGGTGAGTTGTTTATTTTCAATTTTCGGAGGAGATTTGAAAAAATGACGAAGGAACGGGCAAGTTGGCAACATTGTTTTTTGCTCCATAAAAACCAATAGACATGTATCGATTCGAGGAAGGGCTAGGTGCTCCGACAAGAATCGACTTTTTAACACATGTTTGAATGGAGGAAAGCCAGAGTTGCCAAATTGCTGGATCCGCCTCTGTGGTTGAGTGAGAAAAGGACCTTGCGCACTGAAAAAAGAATCTCTGTGTATTTACTAAGGAAAGGGTAAAATTACCGCGAATTCGGGGTTCTATTTGATCCCAGTTTTTTCTTGGTAAAATTACCATTTATGGAATTGATAATTTTACCGAGAAATCTTGGTAAAATTATTGAGCATTCTTGGTAATTTTACTGGACCTTGGTAAAAACGCCAATACTTTTGATCGACTGTGGTAGAATTACCGAGATAAAATGGCAAAGATACCGGGAATTGATTACCAATTAAAGTGGTATTCTTACCTGGAAAAACAGTAAAAATACCGGTGTTTAGGTAAGCTTACCAGTCTGTCTTGGTAAAATTACCAATAATTGGTAAAAAAAGTGAGATGGTAAAGGTACCAACGGACCTTGGTAAAAACGCCGAGAATTATTTTTCAGTGCGATGGGAGTGGAAAAGTTGAACGACGACAAAAAAATATTAGATCGAGCTCAGCGAAAAAAGGGTTCCCGTCCGTAATGGAGGATTAGCTGGGCACGGAAGAATAGTAAATAGACGAAACTAATGGCTAATGCATGTTGCGGTCTTTTAAACGTTGTTCGGCGTGAGATAATGCCTCGCGAGGGAAGGGAAAGAGGGAGGGGGGTGCTTTAGCACATTTGCAGGAAAATCAAGCGCTTTTCTGTTGTAGTCATATGCGAATTAAATTAAAAGCCTTGTGTGGAATAAAACATTCTCTAAACCTATGAGACGTTTATTAGTGTGTTCTTGCGCCCATTTTGGCTCGAGAATACCACTAAGAAAGGACGCCGCATGAATATTTGCCCGTTGTCAAATTTTCAATCGAAAGACACGAATTTTCGGGCAAAGTTTAAAGTAGTTTGCCTCCGGAAATTTTTTTGCGCCGTTAAATAATATTTGTAAAAAAGAAAAAAAAATTCAATCCGGGGAAATTTGGCACCATAAGAAATGTTCATTAGGCGTTTTCCTCAAAAATCTATTTCGACCAAATCTCGCAATAAGGAAGGGTCAAATTTTGTCGTGGTGAACAATGCTAGTCCAAGTTCAGGAAACATGAGGTATCTGCTTTTGAAGAGTGTTGGTGAAAAGTTCTGAAAAATTCTTCTTCACGTCTGAAGATTCGTCGCGTCCAATTTTTAATCAATAGAAACTGATTTTTTAAGATATTTTCCGCAGTTGTGTACTTGCTTCTTCTTTTTCTTTAAATGGAATTTAAAAAAAGTGTGGTAAATGGGGTTAAGAGTTTGGAAAATTCAGTGCAACTGCCAGTAATACACTAACTTAAGGCACACATTCTGTTTTTTTTTTATTTTTTTATTTTTTTTTTTAAAATTAAATTTGTGAAATTATGCAGGAAATCATACGTTTAATTTAAAGGTATTTCTAAAATGGTCATGTTCCGCAACACGCCCTTGCCAATTCATGAATCAAAACTGTTCGTGCATTTTCTGCAGTAAGCAGCAGAATGAAAACGCAGGTTGCGATCTTATTTTTATGATCCCACTGGAAATTTCATCATAAGACGCGCACAATCGATTGCGGGTACATAATATCTGCATGAAACGGTCATTTCATGAAGTGTTTCTCGTCTTGTAAATGTGTGTGTACATAACTCGCTCGTAGTCAATATTATGTTTTTCTCCTTTTTTTTCAAATATTACTACCCCCTGAAAAAATGTCCGAATTCTTCGTAATCAGATTCGGCTGTAGATACTGCATTTTCATATGAAGTGCCACAATATCACAAAGAGGCTATCATACTCCGTAAAGAAGCCTCTCTGCTCTGAGTGATATCTGTTGCTTTCAATTGATAGGTTGTAACTTTGTGACTTACATGTCTTGAATCGGTCATCGCAGCATGTTGGTCCACTTCACTGATTTAAGTCTGTAAATATCCAATCAAAATCGAACCCGACAAACAATTTGAAATATCCACTCTGTTAACAAGAAACTCCCAAAGTTTGTTCATTGGCTCAGTATTAAACACGTGGACACAGAAAAGTTTCCATCACGTGACGTTTTTATCTGACGTTGCTCCGGACAATACCAAAAAATCTGAATCCGCAGACAACAAGTTTTTCTCTCTGTCTTTCTGCCTTTATCTCTTACAATAGAGAAAGAGTAAAGAGACGGAGAAAATAATAATTTTGCTTAATTTCCTGATCGTGATGGAAGGAAGTAAAGATAACTGGATAACTGCAAGAGGTGGACCTTTACACGTGTATTTTTCTGTGTGATTTGTTTGGGTTTTCTCATTTTTTTTCGTTTTATTTATTTTTCATTTCATTTTTTTTTCTTTACATTTTATATTCTGGATTAGAAATTTGATTTTTTAAGCAATATAGATACCCATGGGTATAAAATATCAAATTAGGGTGCCGCACGCATTTCTATTTTCCAGATTTTGGTAATTTTGTTGTCTGTGGTTTTCCTGGTTTAATCATTCGGCTATCATTGTTCTTCGGTTACGAGTGCGAAATAACAAATTTTTTTCAAATGGTCACAATGAGCCCCTAGACGGTATACAACATTTACAATATATTTTTTCTCATCAAAATTTCAAATTAAATTATTCTCAATATTTGCCCTTAAATAATAGATTCAGTAAACTAAATTTTTCCTGACAGTAATTTCAGGAGCAACATGTATCCAAAGAGAAAAGAGATTTGTAGGAGAGAAATTCTATTGTTATTGTATTTGCCAGATTTGTCAATTTGTTTTTAATTTCTAATTGGCCTGCATTGATTTTAGATTTTTTAGCGGGAAGTTTGGAATTACCGATTTCAAAGTAAAATATAACCAGTGAGTTCTCAAGTGCGAGTCAATTTCTGTCTTCTACGATCCATTAAATTCATTTTAAGCGAAATTTTGATGAGGAAGTTTAAATTGGGGTTTTTCACCTCTTACCCTATATATTCAGTGGTCCGCTTGGACTACAATTTGCAATAGAGAACTACTATTTCTGCCACATCCACAGAAGTACCCATCTAAAAATGGAAACTGACGGCGCATTTGTCGATCCTAAAATTATCTAGTAATAGTAGTTCCTGATTGCAAAATGTCGTTCATTTTCTGGCGATTTACGGCGTGAAAATAAGAAGCATGAAGGAGCGAGAAAAACACCTCAGTTTAAACAAATGAAGGTAGTTATTTTCAGAGACAAATAGAGACTCGAACGTCTCTGTGATGGTGGAAACTTTAACTTTCGGGGCTTCAGCTTGTAGGCTTCTTGTGGGCAGCATCATTCAGCTTACCTTTTTGTTGGTTGTTAAGCTTCATATTAAGCCGTGAGCTCAACAAGTTCGCCGAACATCGGCCGTGTTGCCAAACTGATCTCCCACCACATTCCGTATCGGTCATCCAAAAGGTGATTTCAATCAAGAATTTAATGTGGAGTTGAAGCCCCGGCCAGTAGGAATTTCTACGTGATATCGAGAGGACACTATTTTTCTCTGGTTATGTATCTGAAAATGTGTTCAAATTCTAGCGAAACTTTGGCAAAAGTGTACAGACAATCATAAGACACATCCATGATCCCTCCGCTTCTTAATGAGGGAAAAAATAATATCTGATGCAAGCGATAGAAAGGACGGGTACCCACTAAGGTCTTTTTTGGTCCTATAATTCAGTGATTGATAAAATGTTTCTATGCAGTAAATTTTACTTCTTAACATCGAGGCAGATTTTCAAGTAATAATATTAAAAAGTAAAATTTGCCGAGTAGAAACTTTTTTGCGCATTTAAAATCTTTGATCATCCCGAGAATAAACAGGGGTTAAAATTATAAAAATGGTGGGGTTTTGTGTGAACTATTGAATAATAGTATAGCCATGCCTAATAATGGTCATAATTTATCACCGTGATGGTTCTTTACCATTGCGTTTCGTGAAATAATCACTAAATAGTAAAAACACCACCACTATTGGTTATAGCTACTACTGAGCTAACTAAGCTGTTAATTGTAGAGACGACAAATAGGGTGATCCAAATGCCCCGAACCACCCCTGTAACCCTGAAGTGTCTTGCACCTTTTCAGCGTAATCCCCTTAGATTTCGGGGGTGGGGGGGGGGTGCAAAATTATTTTTCCTTCACCTCGGAGCACTCACAAAATTTTAGGTCTCTATTTTAATTTGTTCAAAAGTTATAGGGTTTATACCTATTGCTGATGGTGCAGGACTTTTGAATCATCCTGTATAAGCTTTACAATACTGCTCAGATTGTGCAACTTTGTGCACAATTTAACAAAAGACGGTCTTGAGACCCCCCCCCCCCCCATTTGTCTGTATTTGGATCGCATTTAGCAAAAAGGAAGTAGCGCGATTACAGTATTGGACAAATGTCGCTCCTTCATGATAATTTAGAAAATCTCTCAGAACGGCAAATACCTTTTGCCCCTTACCAAAAAATTGTTAATTTTAAAGGAATATAATTGTGTAAATTTTAATACTGTACATATATGAGTATTTTTAAAAAGAAAAGAAGTTGCATACTTTTGAAACCACTCTAATCGTGATGGTCTCTTTTTGCTAGCTGCGATCCATTTTAGCAATATTTTTCATTAAAATAAAATGATTTATCGCATTTACCATTATAATGCCATCGAAAAGCTCATACGTCGTCTCTACAAAAAATGTCTCTATTTTAACCACTCACAGTAAAAAAAAGTCGCTTGGATTTAGAGTCCAGACTCTGAAAAACATTGACAAGAAAAAATACTCTTGATTCAATCGGACTTTTTGCTTGAATCAAAAGGAAATCCGCCTAGATCAAGAGGCTCGGCTCCTCGATTCAAGAAAAACCCGTATTGAATCAAGAGTATTTTTTCTTGTCGATGTTTTTAAGAGTCTGGACTCTAGATCCAAGTGACTTTTTTTCTGGTGCTTTTTTTTCTCAGTGAAATTTAAAGGGGAAAAAGTCCCTGACGGGCCCCCGTCGTTTAGTTGTGGATGTACCTGTGCATTTATTTGTGATAGTTTGCTTTTACATGTGCTGTATTACGTTGTGATATGATACTTGGGAATGTTGTGGTGCATACAGGGGATATTGCTCAATCCGCAAACGTTGGCCCAAGCGCGACGCTCCAGGTTCAGGCGGGCCTACACCGACGCCGCCCCCGCCACCAGCGATCGCAGTGACGTAGCAGTCGCAAAAGCCACGGTTCGAGCCTTTCATCATTTCAAAAGACACTTAGTTGCCCCTGACCCCTGCAATCTGCTACTTTACACTCTCACACACACCCACACTCACTACCCCAAGACGACTTTTATTAGTGTCACAATTGGGACCCGGGTCCTCTACGAAAGAGCCTTCGTCCATTCAGTAGATTTTTTGGAAGACTTTTCCAAAAATGACGTCATCTTAGTCATGAAGTATGTTAGGAAGTTTTGCAACGTCACGGATGAGGTACGCTCTGCTAAAGTCAATCAACATGATATCATGTCAAATCAGTAAGACACCATGCACTAGGAATGCACTAGGAAACCCCAGCACTATCTCGTACAATTATGCTAATAGTACGAGTATACTGATATCATAATGATCTATCGCTGATACCATACTGGTATACTCATACCGTACTGAGAAGATGCTGATATGGTGTAGGAGAATCGTTCAATTCGTGCTACCACTGATTGACCTTACCGGGGCGCAATCGAAGTCCGAGGTATGGATCGCATTTTGTTAAAAGGAACAAGGAGCATTCCAAAGCTCGGATTGTGCAACTTATATTCTTTGTAATAAAATTACTTAAATCATGCACAAAGTTAAATTTACAAAGGTATGCTTTTTGTCTTGAATTTATAGTTTATCGAGAGTGAGGATAAAGCTTGTATGGGTGAATAGTTTATATTTGTAAGGTAAAAAAAGTTGCACAATCTTAGCGACATTGGAAATACTCTCGGTTCTTTTTTTCAAAATGCAATCCGTATGTACTTTTGCTTTTACCATCGAAAAAAATATTTCGTTAGGTTAGTTCGGGTTAGGTTAGGTTAGCCTAAGTTAGTGGATCAAACGTATTTAAAAGGGGTACCTTTGGAGATCAGGAATGATTTCCAAAGGCACTTTAATTAGCCAGGACTCCAAATAAAATACGAAGGGTTAGAGGAAAATAAAAAATCGGTTTCACCAATGTCGGCAAGAACAGCAGTGTCCGCGTCTAACTTTATCTAAATAAAAGTCGTCTGATCATTGACACTCACCCCTTCAAGGGATTTTACACGAATGTTAATCACTGTGCATGCTCCCTACCTTTATTCCTGACGTTTAGAAGTCATCAGGCAGGAACGCACCCATTCGCAAGGGTAGTTTTGAGAAACACATTTGCGCAAAAGCACTTACACCGTGTTTTTTTTTTTACAATTTCGTTTGTTGATAGATCATTCTGCTTAATGACCTCTATTTCTCCAATACATTTGGACGGATTTTCCAAAAACCAGCCTATCTGCATTTTACGCAGCATGATCTTCTTAAAGTGTTATTTGATCAATAGAGAACCAAACAGAACAACGCCTGAAAGCTTCCGAATTTCCTCTAAAATATGAGGAGAGTGCACAAAAAAATGCAGGTCAGAATGTTTTTTCCGTTGAAAAATACAAATTTGAGAGGAGTTCAAGCAACGTTTAACGTAGTTGGGCTGATTTTATCGTAACCCTTCCATTTATATCTGGATGCTAGATGTTATCTCGAAATGCGTAAGTTGAGATGCATAAGATTAGTAGATGATTTTTGAAATTATAGACAAAGCGATCGACCAAGAAGACAGAGGGAAAATTATTGGTTGGTACGGGTGGTTGTTATGACTTGGGAGAAAAATGATGGACCAACAAATGAGTCGCTCGTGAATTTTCATCAGTAAGTCTATTGCTTACCTCCTTAGTCCATCGCAAAGACCCTCTTCAACCAATAAGATCGCTTAGTTTATCCTATGTCTTTTTTGTCTACATAGCTTTGTCCTTGAATTTCAATAATCTGCTGATCTCGTATTAGGCATGTATAAGCAGATATCGAAAACATTATAAGAGGTTTCAACCGTCGACTCGGGAACTTTAATGAAATTAGGTCACTATTAGAGAAAATAGATCTCTCGAACACGTGATATGTAGCCAATTGATTTTAAGTTATATGTATAAAACGCGGACCTTGGGAGGACTTTTGGACTAATATTATTTCTTAAAATTACTGTATAGTTAAGTAAAATTAAAATGGAAAGGAAAACTCGTTAAATCAATCTACCCATAGGATATTTCTTGTTATACCGCAATGTCAAAATCAGGGTAATGCACCCAACCTGCCAGGACTGTATTTACCAAATCAGAAATTTAAATCCATCTTCACTGGAAAATGACCCACAAAGATTATGTTCTCCTTTTTTCCCGTCTGTCATGTCTCGCGGTAAAACTCAGTACTTTATGATTTAGGCAGTGTCGATGTCGAAATGTTGTTTTTCCGGGTGAATATTTTCGTAGATCCCTGTGTGACCTGTGTCTGCGCTTTGACTGCTTCGATGAACACCCTAGAGTAGTTGAATGAGTATGTGTCGTTCATATATCCAAAATATTACTCAAAGCTCAGAATGTTACAATTGTAATTTTTGCCTGCTGATGTGCATGATTATATCTGGATTAAATCAAAAGTATGTCCAATTACAACATCCGGAGCAGGGTTAGTTTTTAAGCAAAATTCCCTGAATTACTTGTCTATTTGAGAATTTTTCCCGGTTTACCTTTCATTTCTTTTTTATGACATTATTACAGTTTCATATTACGCTGTTCCAATATCTTTGGCCCTCCCTCTTTCAACACATTGGATTTTTGGGCTTAATTTTCCCGCAGAATAGTGTGGACTCAATACCATTTTATCATCAAAAAAATATAATCAAGCATCGTTTAATTGTACTTATTCGTCGAAACCCGTGAGGTTTTCAAAAAATTACCTTGCCCAGGTTTCCGGAGAAAAAATAAAGTATTCAGGAAGTCTGCAATGTCGCAAACGGAGATAAGCGATTTTTCAATTTGGCGTCAGATATATTCGCCACCATTGATGAATGGTACGCGATGATATTGAACACTTTGCGTCTACTTTTTTTTTTTTTTTTGCTAGTATCATGTATTATATACATAGGGTAACACAATGTACAAGTATTAAGCCTAATAATTTTAGCTTAAGAATATATACACAACTAATTGCCTCCATTTTCTTGCGTATTGAGCGTGGAATCAACGAAATTGTTTCCCTTTAGAAACTAAGAAAATTTTAATGTGAATTGCATCTGTGTTATTGATGGCAACACAAAAGGAAAGTTCTTTTTCGTTTATTTATTAGGCTTATACTTCAGACTGGTTGATTGATATTTCTGTCGCTTTAAGCTTCTGGTTAATGATTATACAGCTGCATTTTGTTTTTAGGTAATGGCTGCTTATGTGTGGCTTATAGCAGCATTTACATAGATATTCTTCTCCTCTTTCTTAGATGCTTTTGATCATATTTTAATGTGACTCATTTTTTGAGTAATCTGTACATTTCTTTCTAACTAATATTTTCCAGCTATAATGTTGTTCGCCGTTGAAATAGAAGATGAAGAAAATCACTTTGCGGTTACTTCAAATTCCGCAATCATAAACTGTTTCTTTATTATTACTTAAAACACCGAATGATCAATTGAACTTTTCGAAATAGTATCGTTTCAGCACTCAACGGAACCTACCACCAAAATTTGCAACTATCTCGAAGGGACGAGGGTATAGTCGTTATAAGGAAAAAAAAATCCTGGCACGACACAACTCTCACCAAAATACCAATTTTTAGATGTGCTCCATTTCGGACGTTTGTTCGACCTCTGAACATTTTTTTCTGGAAATTTTTATTGATATCGACACATCATAGCATATTTTGAGCAAACTCAACCAAAGCTTTTTTCAGCTCTCAAAAATAAGAGACACCTCAGCGCGCGTCGATGACGGCGCAGAGATACAACTATTCGTACTCGATTGATGTCCGCGTTGTATCTGTAAAATTGAAGGCGCGATGGCGCGAGGCGTACGCTCACTACATATATCAAATTATGCTCACTGATAAAAAAAAAAATTCGGTCGTGTGAACCGAACATTCGGTGTTCCATATCATCGCAAATATTCGGTTTGTCTAACTGAACTTTCGGTTCGTGTAACCGAACGTTCGACATATATGAATATGACCAAACTTACTTCGTCAGTTTACTTTACCGCACAAGTTCGGCTACACGAACCGAACATCCCGTTTGACAAACCGAAAATTCAGTTTGGCACACATAATTAGTTGGATTGACATGAAACACCGGCTTCAGTACATACGATCGAATTTTTTTTCGGTTTTGATCTGTTGTCTATTTGATAAATAAATCGGGAGCGGAGATTTTGAAACACCGCAATCGAGATACGCGGTTTGGGAATTCGACCGTCTTTTTGTTCTTTTTTTGCTTTGCACCTTTTTAGGCTCATTCGATAAACTCTGGGGGACCATGTTTAGCGATGGGCTTTCAAGAGAAAACCGCGCGGTCTTTTCGGCCTGCCGCTTGAGGTTTGGTCAGGCTCAAGTGGGGGCTGATTATTCGATGCGCTCTTTTTTCCCTTTCGTTCGCCGTCACCGCAAATTGGATAGGAGCGTCGCACAGTGGATTAATTCAATTAGAGAGATCGGACATGAAATTTTTGACTAAATTTGCACATTTTGGTATTAATTTCGTCACATTTTTCATTTCAAGGGGTGCTTTTAGAAGAAAATTTCACGAAGAAACTGGTGAATCCACTTTTAGAACCTCAAAATTTTGCACAGACGGAGTTACAAATCGTTTAAAGTTTCCTAATTTTGTCCGACCTCTCATATTGACTCGATCCACCGTGCGTCGGGCTAAAGGAGAGTGGCTCCTGCATCGCAAAGCGCGTATAAATAAGGAGTTGACGCATACATTGTTGCCAGATAGTGCTAAGCCAATCACGACATCCCCCATTCGAACCCGTGCGAAGTATCCTCACTTTTTCGAGCAACTTGCAACTTCGGTACGCGGCGATCAACCGCAGTGGTGACTCTTGCAGGTTGGTCACACTGTTTTTCCTCCATTTGAATCCATTCAAAGCAATCGATTCCGAGCGAGGTTGCCTGTTTCGATTTTACATTCTTCTAAG